ACTGTAGTCGGCGGGCGACATAAGTCAAGAGGACCGTAGTCTGTTAGCGACGAAGGTCAGAAGAATTGTATTCGGCGGGCGACATAAGTTAGGAGGACCATAGTCTGACGACGAAGATCAAAATGACAGCGTCAGGTACAAGTCCAACAATGAAAAGAAATCCATCTTCGTGTAGACGTCCAGCGAAGTTCGATAACCGGTAGAAGTTCGGCGTCGGGTAGAAAACTTGGCGAAGAGTGAAGGTTCGATGTCGGGTAGAAGTCTGGCGTCTGTTGGTGGCAGAGGAGAACTCCGGCTTCAATTGGGCGGAGTTTCAGCGTCAGAAGGGAACTCTGTTGCAAATTGGGAAGAATTTCAGCATCACGTGGAAGTTGGGAAGAATTCATGCGTTCTCCCGAATATCACGCAGAATCCCAGCGTGTTCGGGCGATAGGAAGAGCTCCGGCGGTGGTCGAGGAGGAGCTTCTTCCTTCTCCTCATTCTTCTCTTCTTCTTCTTCTCTCTCTTCACTTGAGCCCCATTTGTAAAAATGAGGGCTCTATTTATAATTTTTATGGGATGGCATAGCTCGTAAATAGTCTTGAGATCAAGGGTGAATTGGGAGTGATTTGAATGGACGGCCGATATCGAATCCTTTGATCATGCACCGTTAGTTGGACATTTGAAGGCCTTAATGACGTTGGAATTTGGTGATCTTAGGCTCGTTAGATTCGTCTCGTCGAGCCGCTCGATTCGAGTATAAGCTCGTTAAAATCAGAGACCGTTTGGTAACTCAAATTGAGGTTCAAACCTTCTAACAGCGCTTCGGGTCCTTGATTCGGACTCATTTGGGCTCGGATTGAGTCGAATTTGGTGTCGTTGGATTCGTATTTCTGAGACGCTCAGTTTGACTGTATGTTCGCTGAAATCGGAGTTCATATGCTCTCGAATTTAATTTTTAAAGTTTTTGAACTGATATTGCCTCGAGATTCGTGCCCAATCAAGATAATTTCATGATGACGTATCAATTACTATAATATATTATTATTATTTATTAGTTCTCTATAAGAAATATATAATAAAAAACGTTAGTTGCATATACAAAATATATAATTTAAGTTTGTAAAATAAATCAACTCATCTTGATGTGTTGGTTGGGAGTTTAGGCTATCAATTAAGAGGTCTTGAATTCAAATTTTGTGTATACATTGTGTTTGTATTTGCTTAATTTGCCCAAATGTTAAAAAAAAAAAGTTAGCAAAATAAGAAGTTAGTTAGATAAGTTTTAATTTAACGTGTGCAATAAAGAACTCTTTATCGAAATCGATCAGAATTCTGTTAAAAAATCCTTTTCGATAATAACTTTTTCACATTCTAAAATACTATTAGACTTTCAATTGAATATAAAAAATGTTTTTTCATATTTTATTGGTACTAAGTTAAGCGTTGCAGAGATAATAATGCTCAGGTGGATGAGTGATTTTACTCTTAGAGATAAGATACGAAATGAACATATTCGTGAAAGGTTGGAGTAGCTCCAGTGGCAGATAAGATTAGAGAGAGTCGCCTTAGATGGTTTGGTCACATAAAACGGCGGTCTTCCGATGACCTTGTTAGAAAAATAGAAGTATTAGATTTGACTTATGTTAATAAATATAGGGGTAGACCTAAAAAGACTTGGTTCATAGAATATTAAAAATAATATTTCTTTATTATATTTAAATGAGAATTTGACTTTTAACATGACATAATAGAGAAAAAAATATCATGTTGCCAACCCCACATAGTCAGACAAAGACTTGTTATTATTTTCGTTGGTGTTGTATCGAATATGAAAACTAATTTCCACATTCTAGTGAATGCGGGATAATCTTTTTCGTATTCGACTAAATGCAGTATAATATTTTCCATTTTCTGAAAAAATAAAAAAATGTTTAATGGGCCCAAATGTCCCCAAAAAAAATTCGTAAAATAAGAAGTTGGTTAGATAAGTTTTGATTTAATGTGTGCAATGACGAACTCTATATCGGATTCGATCAAAATTTTGTAAAAAACCTTTTTCGAAAATAATTTTTTCGCATTCTAAAATACTATTAGACATTCAATTGAATATACAAAAAGTGTTTTCCATATTTTATTGTTTTACTGGCGGAATAATTTTTTTGCATTTACTAAATGCAGAATAATGTTTTACATTTTCTAAAAAACTAAAAAATGTTTAACATATTTTTAAAATGTGGAATTTAATTTTACTTATATGCTATTTTTTATAATTTGATGATCATATATATATATATATATTAAAGAATAAAATTATTTTCGATTATTTAAAAAATTTATTTTAGTACGATTCTTGCTATTCGCAGTTTAGTCGCTTTTCCTCTCCACTCACTGACTCATGGCAATAACGGCGGCGATTTGCTTCGGTTCTCCAAACCCTAAACCTATCGCCTGCGCCGCCGCCGCAGACGCCGCGGTTATCAACCCTCTCATATCCCGCCCACGCTCTCTTACTCTCCACCGTCACTGCTGGAACCCTAGTCTCGTCGCCGGAGCTCCCTCTCCTCGATCCTTCGCCGTCCGATGCTCCCTCAGCTCACGGCCAGATTACATACCAAACCTCATCCCCGACCACGCCTATGTTCGCATCTTCGACACGACGCTCCGCGACGGGGAGCAATCTCCAGGCGCCACGATGACCAGCAGCGAGAAGATCACCGTCGCTCGCCTGCTCTCCCGCCTCGGTGTCGACATCATTGAGGCTGGCTTCCCAGCTTCATCTCCCGACGATCTCGAGGCTGTGCGCTCTATTGCAATGGAGGTGGGAAACAAGCCAGCGGAAGATGGGCACCTGCCGGTGATTTGTGGCCTGGCGAGGTGCAATAAGAAGGACATTGATGCTGCTTGGGAGGCGGTGCGGCATGCAAGGAGGCCAAGGGTGCATACTTTTATTGCGACGAGTGAGATTCATATGCAGCATAAGTTGAGGAAGACGAGGGAGGAGGTGGTGAGAATTGCGAGGGAGATGGTGGGATATGTGAGGAGGCTTGGGTGCGAGGACATCGAGTTCAGCCCAGAGGATGCTGGCAGGTCTCCATCTTTTTTACAAAGTTTTTTATTCGGTCTTGATGCTTGCGAACTTTTACAAAAAAAATTAGATGAAGAGCTATGCGTTAAAAAAAGTAATGTTACAATACCCTACCCAAAGTACTGTGTTTGGCAGCAAATATTTGTGAAAAAAATTAATTGTCGAATTTGCATACATACAGCAAATTTTTATGAAGTTACATATCTAATACTTGAATTTTTATAATATCAGGTTAAGACAGTTATTCTTTGAAGAAAATATTTGTGCGACGTTATCAAATTTTGATTGGTACAAATTTAAAATTATGAATTTTTTAATATGAATTAAATAAAAATTTTGACTGATTATGCATTGTATTCATTTTAAAATAAATTCAATGATTTTGACACTAATCATGACTCAATTTTCTCTATTCATAAATAACATGGTAGTGCATATAAATTACAAGATAATCTTTTGGTTTAACTTCATGACAATTTTATATAGCTACAACACTATTCTGTAAAATCTTAAAAAACAAGTTTTGTACAAGATAACACTCAAATCGTACTTTCTTACGATAATTTTCATAACATTTTAGTTATTTATGAGTAAATCTTGAACTCATGATCAAATTTTTTTAGGCAGCGCTCGTCTATTTTCTTTCCAGGCGATTTTTTGTCAATATTTCTTGTTTGTTCTATTTATAAAATTTTTAAATATTTTATTGGATTGTTATTTTATTTATTTTTGGGAAATTAGGGCCAACGTCCAAACACACATAAAACATATACACTAGATTCAAACCCATGATCTCTTAATTGGGAGCCAAACTCCCAACCAACAAACCAAGAAGAGCTGTGTCGTTTGTTATTTTAGCTTATGGATTTGTTATTTTAGCTTATGAATTTCTTACGATTTGACTAAATTTTTTAATTTTACCGGTACGAGTTGTCCCGTTTGTTTAATGCATCTTCTTTTAATTAAAATCCTTATTTGAAATTTAGTGAGCGTTTTTTGTATCGATGTGGGAACTGTCGAAATATTGTCTCAAGGTCTTGGTTTTATTGGCTGCTTTGATTTGATCATCATTGGGACTCATGTCTTCTTTAATCAGCTCGAGCTTTATTTTTAAGATAACTAGTGTCTCCTTTTCTTTATGTCAAGTGGATTGGCTCATTTTCCAAGCCACCGCCTCCTTGATTAATGGCTTATTGCGAATTTTTTTTAAGAGGAAGATGGATTGGAGAACCTGCTTTTGATTTTTCATCGTGTCTTCTTTACAGATGGTTGTACTCCTCAAATAAATCTATAATTAAAATCACCATTCTTTCTTATGCTATGATTAGGTGGACATACCAAATCAAAAGTTTATGGAATCCCCTTCCTTTTTAGTTGATCCACCTAAGCTACCTTTCTGATTTGAAGCCTATGTTTTGTTGATAAGTGTAGCATTACTCTCTTTACTTCCGGCATTAGTTTCTCAAGTTCAAGTCGAGCTTTGCCTGCTATGATTTTTTCTATGTTTTTTTCATGCTAATCTTGAAAATTGCTTGACATGCTTAGGTAGTTCTCTGAAATTTTATTTTATAGTCTTTATTGCTGCATTAAAGGTGTCCTGGTTACTTTAAACATACGTTTTCTCTGATAACATGGGAAGTATGATGGCTGGATGTTGTTGGCTTTTGATTGAGGGCTGCTATTTTAACTCCAGGTTTATGTTTTGTGCCAAATTTTGAAAATGTACGAACAGAATTAAGAACCTTATAGAATTTAAAGCACGTGCATGGGAAAGAGAATTCAAATTTATAGTTTGGTTGCCAGGGTCATGGCCAAGTTGCTATCAAGTAGAATGAATGAGATTGTGTGCATTAGTGGAAAGGACTCTGAAGACAGGAGGAGGCAAGTAGGACAAGCATGGTAACTTTGGAAGTTTACAAGCTCATAGTTAAGTAAGAGGTTAAATGATTGTATTGTGGTATCAGAATGGTTAGTTCTAACACCATATTTAGAGGGATGTGGGTTAGGGTGGTTGGTCTGCAGATGTTCTGGGAAAGAATGAGTGGGGAGAAAACAAATTTGTTCACATTGATCTCAAATTAGGTTAAGTGTTTGTGGAACTTCCATGTAACTTCTTCATACCCAACTTATGTTTGCATTATATGATATCACAGCAGACTTTGGGGATGTAAATATTCATAACCAATAATCTTATAGGATTTAGAATGCTTTATAGCACAAAGTTTGCATATTTTTTATTAGGGCTAATTGTTTTCAAGAAATAGCATAAAATTAACTGGCTTCCACTTTTCTTTGAACATTTTATATGCCACTTTTGTTCTTCTGCTCAAATTCATTCTTGATTTTAAACACTAATTTGAATGACAAGATATTTACAGTTTCTTTCTAAATTGGAATGTTTGTAAACAGATCTGATCGTGAATTCCTTTATCATGTTCTTGAAGAAGTAATTAAGGCTGGAGCTACAACGGTGAACATTCCTGATACAGTTGGCTATACTATTCCTCATGAATTTGGTCAACTAATTTCTGACATAAAAGCAAATACTCGGGGGATTGAAAATGCAATTATTTCAACACATTGTCAAAATGACCTTGGACTTGCAACAGCCAATACTTTAGCAGTATGAAAATTCCTATTTTCAAGTAACAATATGATTCCCTCACAAATCCTCTTCTCCCCCCTCCCCCCTTTAAAAAAAAAAGAAAAAAAAGGGGGGTTTTGTGCAATAAGATTTTATATTCGATTTCAGCTTTTCCATCACATGTTCTGCTAGGGTGCTAGTGCTGGAGCACGGCAACTAGAGGTTACAGTGAATGGCATTGGTGAAAGGGCAGGGAATGCTTCTTTAGAAGAGGTGGGAAGAATAAATGTATCAGGCCAAGATGTCTTATTGTGCAGTGCTTAAAGCATTCATAACACAAAGCTGAGAGTTTTCTTGACTTTCTTGCTTTCATTCTTATGGTTTTAAATTTATTTATTTTTCGCCGTTTTCTTAAATTATGTATTCTGTGAATATTTGTTTTGTTCTAATCCATACTCTTGCATCATATTTCTCAAGGGTTTGACTTTCATGAACCTATTTGTATTTGGGCGTCATGTTGGCATGGTTAATTCCAATGTTTACAATTCTATTTTTGGACAACCTAAAGGATATGCCACATGGTTTATCCTTCTTTAAAAATTTTAAAGAACATTAATTCATTTAAATTTGGATAAATTATAATTTTATCACTCATGAGGAAGAAGATCAAGAGGTTTTCCAGCAGTATTAATGAACCTTTGCTTCCAGTCAGTAGAGTTTTACCTTGAAATGTGGTGGCCTAGCAGCAGTTTAGCAATGATTTGCTAGATTAGGGTTGGTGGTAGAGCTGGAACAGGATGAAAATAGAGATAAAGACGCTCAGTTGAGAAAGGGAGATAGATAGTTGTAATGGTTTTTTATTGTCCCACACGGTTCCTGATTCACTTAGTAATGGGAGGCCATCACATGACGCTGAGAAAAAAATTGGCCTGGTCAAAACATCCAGGAGAAGGAAAATAGATTTTACACATTCTACTTGTGTCAAATTGCATAGACAAGACTCATTAATAACTGAGTTGTAGAAACAATAAACAGGTCGTTAAATTATTTTAACATAGTAACCCATGAAAATTAAAATAAATGGCATACAAGTTTCAAAATGACATAAAATTAACATATGCAAAACACTAGACTATTGATGTATCATTATAACTCATTTTGGCTTTACTATTGGGCCAAATGATGGGTTAGCCTCATGCAGGGTTTCTCCACACCTCTTGATGGATGGAGAAATCTTTGAACACTTTTTTATTGAAACCTTTGCTGAAATCAGGGTCTCTCAACTCCAATTTGCCTTAATTTTTTTCCCAACATTCAGGATCTTGAATCACCCTTCTCCTCCAATCTTGCCAAACCTTCTTCCTTTAATTAAACCATGTTTCCTGTAGTTCTAGACAACAACAAATTGTTTTCAGCTTTCCTCCTCCAACGGTTTAGCTTTATGCAGTTCTAGATGGCATCACGTGATCTGAAACTTGCTGTAGATTTTCCTTCAGCCTCCTTTGTCCAAGGTAGCAGCAGCAGCTGTTGGAGAGGATTATCTTGGTGGCAAGAAAATGACAGAGTAGTGACAAAACTCTCCTGTTTTTGCTCCAGAACTCACGCGCAACATAAGAGGACAGAGGGGGAGGAAAATAAATCATAGAGCAAAAAGATTGTAGGATTATAATACAAAAGATATTGGCATAAATATGACAACCTAGGTTATTTATAAAATTCATATCCAAGGCCTCACGAAGGCTAAACAAAATGAAACAAAGAAACTAAATAACTAACAACTGTCAAAAACTGAAATCTGTTGGGATAGTTACAAACAACAAGAAATACTAATAACTCCGCAAAAAACCATACTAATAAACTCCACCTCGATTTTACACCAAACTTACTCATCCTAGAACCACATTCAATGTCTCTATACAATAGTGAAATTTGCTTGTAGGCAATATCTTTTTTAGCATGTCTGCAGGATTATGATTTTGCAGGGTTATGATTTTTGGAAATCCTATGACCTTCATCAATTTTTTTGTACCACATCCTTGATGAAATGAAAATTTAGATTCACATGCTTTGTTATGTATAAGCTTTTGGACAAACATACAAGTATACAACTCATTGATTTTCATAGTAAAAGAGACATTTTATGTACAAAATTTTGATTTAGCAACTCACTCATCAAACCCTTTATCCAAAGGGCCTCCTTCATAGCTTCAGACACAGCAATGTATTTTGATTTTGTAGCAAATAGAGCCATCATTAATTGCAAACGAGATTTTTAACCATGTCAAGACTTTAAACACAAAACCAACCAATGACATTCTAATGTCCACATTTGCAACCAAATTAGAATCTATATATCTTCTAACTTTGACACATGTGGAGCTACTGATGGTATAAATCCAATTCATATGTCTCATCAAGATAACTCTTTTCCCTGTCTTCCATTGATTCTTATTGACTTCACTATGATCATATCCCGAATTAGGTATGCTACAAACCATCACATATAAAATGCTCCCAACTCTATTTTGGTAAGGTTACTATAGCATGTACTTCTTCTCATCATCATTTGATGGCAAATGATAATTGCTTAGCTTCATATGTTGAGCTAAAACTGCCCCCAAGTCTTAGAGCTAATTATTGTGGGTTAAAATTTCTATAAAATAGAAAACATGTAATAAATAAATAAAATATATACTCAAGTGATATTAGTCTTAAAATTAAAGCAAACTATATCCACCATCCACAACCATTTGTCGAGAGTGATATATTTGAGAAGAATTTTAGCTCACAAATAATTAATGTTTTCTCGAGTGTATTACTACAATTCATTGTCAAATGATATTGCATCATTAAGTATGTGGTATGTATCCTCTAACTGATAATTTTTCCATCAAATGGCACCACAAACAAATGGTTATGATCGGGTGATTGTGCTACGGAATGAAATCATTAAATTATGGTCATAATTAGATCCTACAAATTCTCCAACAATGAAAACAACATCAAGCTTTATCGTTCTTTTTTTATGATAAATAACTAATGCTCTTGAATTTTTTTTTTAAATTTATATTTAATAATTTATAATAACATTTTCATCTTTCCTTGATATTTTATTCTACTAACATTATATTATTTTCACTTTTAATGCATATAATTTTATCCATATCTCTAAATTTTTTTCTATAGCTTATAACAAATTTGTCTGTTCTACTACATAGCTCATTTCTCTTTCTTGAGTACCTATCCTATTTTATAATAGAAAAATACTAAAATGGCCCCTTGATTCTTTATGGAGGATTAAATGATTTCCAACCATATTAAAGGATCATTTTGGTCATTTAAAATGGAATCAAAATAGTCTCATACTGGGACTATTTTGGTTCCTCTTTAAAGAGTCAAAGAGACCAAAATGGTTATTAATATAGTTGAAGATTATTTTGATCTTTCATAAGGAGTTAATGGACCATTTGATCTTTTTCTCTATTTTATAAAATATAAGAAGCTATAGATTTTGGTTTTTTGTTTGCTTTTGCTTTGCTTATTACCTCTTTTGCAAAACTTATAGCTTCTATATAGTTATTCTAAGCCTTAGTATTTATTTTGTCTATTTGTAATTGCAATTTAGTTTTGAAAATTTTCAGGATAAATATCAAAAGAATTTAGTTTACATTTGTGACTGTTTTCCTTCTTATAACTTATTACATTCGTTCATGTTTTGGTAGAACTCACCATTCAAAGAATACTAATTCTTGATTGTAGCTAAATGTGGGCCTTATTGCTCATTGGTTTCAAAATTAATCTGATACAGTTGAAATGCTCTTCTTTGGCGACTATATATTTCTATTTTTGTGCCTTAATAAAATCTGTTAATGGATACACGTTGTGGTATTTTGGTTGATTAGTCAACAACAACAACAACAACAACAACATCAAGCCTTTATCCCACTACGTGGGGTCGGCTACATGAATCCTTTTTCTCCATTGTGTCCTATTAAAAGTCAATTTTGGTTGATTAGTCAAACCGAAGTATTAATTTTGCAAGCACTGAAGAGTTTTGAGTAGTTCACAAATTTGCAAAACTGTTTTATGAATTTTAATTAATTTCTCTTTACCTGAAAGATTTTTATATGTTGAATTTGTGTGTGGCTATTTAAAGTATGCTTTCAAGTAACCTATCAGTCGATAAGTCTATTATTTTCCTGTTAGTTTTCTTTGCTTCTTTGAATCACATGCGATGTGCTCATTGTGTATTGGCAAAAGCCTACCAATCAGCTCTAACATCAAAAACTTTTCTTCTCCTCTGTTCAACTAGAAGTTGATATATTCTCTTTAATGCTTTTTCTCTTTTTTCTTTTTCCCCATATTGTATAGGTTGTCATGGCTATAAGGTGTCGCAAGCAAACAATGGGAGGCCTATACACTGGGATCAATACTAAACATATTAATATGGCAAGCAAAATGGTATATCTCATAAATTTTTAGGCATGTTTGCTCTAGAATTTGCATGATGGAGGCTTCGGGTTGTATTCTGTGGGCCCAACATTCAAGTTATTGTGTGCAAAGGCATCTATTTTTCTTTTTTTTTTTATAATTTTTTTTTTCTACTAAATGACTTGTTATCAACTTTGATGGATAGTAAGTATCATATACTAATAATTTTTTTTTTGCGACTATTCTTTCATTCATAATCCATCCGCCACTTTTGTGTAGTTTTCTTATCATATCATCTTTAATCTTCATTGCCCGTGAATACATCACTCTAATGCTTGACATTACAATACTAAATAAAGTTTTTGCAAGTAGTAAATTTGATATCAGTTTTAACTTTGAAACTATAGTCTAATGAGGCTAATCTTTGTGGATATAAGAAAGACAGCGGATGATTGGACCATCATTTGCTTGTGAAAATAGCTTAGTAGAAATTTCATTAGTTTCATTTTTGTTTCAGGTTGCTGAGTATAGTGGATTACATGTTCAACCACATAAAGCTATTGTTGGTGCCAATGCTTTTTCTCATGAAAGTGGTATACATCAGGTAGTCGGGTTATATTTTTGGTGACGACTCTTGAGTTTTTTGGAAATGTACAAGAACTTTTTGTTGTTTGCATGTTTTTCTCAGGTTTCCATTTCATCTACTTTTTATGAAAGTGATCAAAATTCAAGCAAAGGTAGTAGAGTCTAGTGAAGACTATCGAAGTTCTTTTTTTAAAAGAAAAAAATATAATTAGTCAATGGAATGAGTACAACATCAAGCAATTATAAAGAATTGCTAGTTGAAAAGAAAAATAATCTCAATGGCTCAATGCATAAATAGAGTCCACTTGGCAGAAGAGAACCCCATGTGTCCTCATTTATTATATCTTGCTTGCCTAATAAACCTTGGAGGATGATAATATATTTTTTTCACATATTTTGCCCCTCCCGGCCAAGAAAATTTGAAACATTTTGTTCACTTGTTCTTCCATATTAGAAGTACTATCATCAGTCATAGGATTGTGAATTTTGATCAACAATGTCCCCAATACCATGAAGATCACCAGGAGCTAACACATCAAGTGGGTTTCAATCATTGTTCTTGCATTTTGCAAGGTGTTGGCTACCTTAATTGGGCTAAAGACATCATGGGAAGGATTTGATTTTAAGAAAGATCTAAAGTTTGTTAAAAATTTTATGCACAACATTAATTGGCTAGTAAAATATTTTGCTACTATTGAATACTAGAAGAGAAGAGTTCGATTTGATTTCCTTGACTATTAAGGTATTTTACTCTAACGTGAAAAAGCGTTAACTTCCTTCATGGTCAATTCTATTAGGATGAATACACACATGAAAGCTGGTGAATTGTTTTTTCTGGTTAAGTCGGACATTAGTAAGGAGGTAAATATTGATATGAATGTTATTCTTATGGTAAATGAGTTTATAGATATTTTCTTAGAGGAGTTATTCGGTTTACCTCCACAGAGATAGAATTTACAATTGATGTTTAGCCTAAAGTAGGGTTGTAAATGAGTTGAGTCGAGCTCGAGTCATGCCTAACTGGAGCTCTACTCGTCAGCCAAATCGCGAGCTCGAACTCAGGTCGAGCTCAAAATGTGAGCTCGAGCTCAGCTCATTGTAGTATAAACGGGCTCGCAAGTAGCTCGTGAGATAACACAAAGCAGCCTCATGTAATTCTGCCTAAGAGGTAGAACACATGCCGCAGAAGAAGAAGAAGGCATGTCCTTGCTGCACATTTTGTGCTCCTGATTGTTGCACGAGAAGGGGAGAAGAGCAGCCATTTTTTTAATTTATTTTTTCAACCGGTCTGTATTATTTTTTATTTTTATATTTTGAAAATTGCTCCAACCTCATCAATGTGAAGTAGCTTTTGTTAAAAATAAAGATCTTCTAAAATCTTCCCTGCATATTTCAAGCTTCGGACTGTTGCGTGAGAAGAGGAGGCAGCCATTTCTTTACGTTATTTTTGAGAGCTGGTCCTTATGTTGTATTTTTTATTTTTATTTTTTAAACATTTCTGCAACCACATTAATGCAAAGCAGTTTGTTGTTGGAAAAAAAAGATCTAATAAAATTATAGCTATTTTTTGGAAATAGAATTATGTTTTTCTTAACTAGCATATTGTATTGGAGTAAAATTTTTATTTGTTGATTTGTTTAAGTAAAAAAATTCAATTAATTAAATAATTACGAGCCAGCTCGTGAACTCACGAGTCGAGCCTTATCAAGCTCGAACTCGTGCTCATTTAATAAACGAGCTCGAGTTTCAGATTGAGCTGAGCTCGCAGCTCGATAAGCTCGGCTCGAGTCACTTACACCCCTAGCCTAAAGCCACAACAATTATTTTATTTTGTTTTTTTTTTTAAGTTTTTTTAAAGCCACAACAATTATGAAAACATTATATATAAAATTATAAATGACTAATTGTTATTAAAGAGTTGCAAAAATTGAAAGATTAGTTACTAGAATTGATTGAGAACGGTTTTGTTAGACCCAACATAACTCCCTAGAGTGCGTCGGTCTTGTCGGTCTTGTTTGTTAAGAAGGACAATTTGATGCGGCTTTGTATTTGATTATAGAGTTGAATAAATTGACTACCATGAACAATTATCCTCTGCAAATGATCGATGATCTATTTGATTAGTTAGCAGGAACCTCTATACTTTCATGGATTGATTTGAGGTCTTGATATTATTAAATCATGATAAAAGAAGGTGATATTCATAAGATAGCCTTTGGTGTCAGATATGGACATTATGAATTTTTGTATGTTGTTTGAATTGACCATTGCTCTAGTAATATTTATAGATATGATGAGCATAATATTTGGACCTTATCTGGATTAGTTTGTAATAATTTTTATTGATGATATATTAGTTTATTTTAAGACTAATGAAGAGCATAATTATCATTTGAGAGTTATTTTGGGCTTGCGGAGAGAATATATATTATTTACTAAGCTTCCCAATTGTGAGCCTAGTTGAGGAGAAATTTGTTTTTTAGGCATATTATTAGTGGTGAAAGCATAGCAGTAGATCCTGAAAAGGTAAAAATAGTTGTTGACGGGCAAGATCTCAACCTTAATGACCAAGCATCTATCATAAGTAAAGGGCTTTTTTAGGTATCAGGGGATTCTTATTTTATTAAGTACATTTTAGCAAAAGCTCACTTTTAGGCTATTTAATTTACTTTGGTAATATAAAAATGTATAAAGAATTAAATTCAATATTCTGCTGACTTGGAATGAAGAAGGATGTGGTTGACTTTGTGGCTAAATATAAGTCATGCTAAGTAATGAAAGCCGAATAATAGAAGCCCAATGAAATGTTGTAGTCATTAATTATACCTGAGTGAAAATGGGAGGATATAGCTATAGATTTTGTTATAGATTTTTTCAGGTCTAGGCAACGTCATGATTGTATCTGAGTGGTGATTGATAGGCTAATAAAATCAGCACACTTATTGTCTATTCACTAAATATATTCAATAGAGAAGTTAACATAAATTTTTGTGAAAGAAATTATTAGATTGCACTGGATTCCTATAATTATTATATTAGATAAGATGACCGATTTACACTCAGAATGTAGAAAGATATTTATGAAAGTTTGGGTAATAAATTGAATTCCAGTACAACATTTCATCTATAGATAGATGACCAATCAGAAAGTGTTGTTTAAGTGCTAAACAATCTATTAAAATTATGTGTTTTATATTTTGGTTGTAGTTGTGAATATGATAGGAAATACTTGAGTTCGCAAGCAAACCTATCACTAATAGGTGAAAACAACGAGAATAATGCAAAATCTGGGCGGAAAAACAACCCCCAAACGATGGATTGCAATGAGAAAATCAAGCCAAACAAAGACAAAGCAAGATACAAGTGATCCTCAATTCGAGAGGAGGATCGTTCTGTCCCAAATCTCTATAAAAGCAATCTAGAGCCCAAACACCAAAGAACTCAAGAGAACATAAATATTCAAGCATGAAAAAACTCCCTCCAACCAGCCCCCTTACTAATACCATTCATTTCCTAATTTCAAACATCTCACATTTAGATTTTCCCTCTCAAACTAGCCTCCCAAAACCCCTTCTCCCCATTACTCCAAATGGGAAATGGGGCAGACCCTACTAATACTCCTTTTGTAAATCTGAATAGGCCCAACAATATCGTCCTCACAAAGAATCACCTTGTCCTCAAGGTGAAAACTCAAAAATTGGTATTTCACCACCACGAATGGTTCCCACGTGGCATCATAGTCAGGCAGATTCTTCCACTTGATTAACAATTTTTTAGCTCCATCTCCTTTCTGGCGAACCCCCATCAATTCTAAGGGTTCCAGAATCACCTCCAAGTCCTCCGTAAGTGTTGCCGGTAACTCCGAGCTGGCCGTGTAATCTCAAATTGCTTTTCTCAGTTGCGACACATGGAAAACCGGATGAATAGTCACCGTGGGTGGTAGTTGCAGTCGATATGCTACCACTCCAATTTTGTCTAATATTACATAGGGCCCAAAGTATCTTGGAGCAAGCTTTCCGTTTCTCCTGTTGGCAACTATTTTTTGTCGATATGGTCGGAGCTTTAAGAACACCCTCTCCCCTGCTTCAAACTGAATGTCCTTCCTATGCCCATCAGCTTGTTTCTTCATAATTTGTTGAGCTCTCAGTAGATGCTTCTTCAATTCCTCTAACACTCGATCTCTCTCCTCAAAGTACTCTTCCACTGAAGAAATTGGAGTACTGGTACTCCCAAAGTGCACCAAGTGAGGTGGGTTCCTTCCGTACATCACCTTGAATGGAGTCATCTGTGAAGCCGAGTGAAATGAGGTGTTGTACTAGTACTCCGCCCATGATAGCCACTTGGCCCACAACTTGGGTGTCTCCGACTGAAAGCATCTCAAGTAGGTCTCCAAGCTTATATTGACCACTTCTGTTTGACCATCTGTCTGTGGGTGTTAAGCGGTGCTCCTCTTCAGGACTATCCCCTGCAACCCGGACAATTCCCTCCAAAAATGACTAAGGAACACTTTATCTCTATCTGACACGATTACCTCCGATACCCCATGCAATCTGACCACCTCTCTAATGAAAGCTGAAGCCATTGTCACCGCGGTGTAAGGATGTCAGAGGGGGATAAAATGAGCGTACTTACTCAATCTATCCACCACCACCAGAATCACCGTGAAGCCTTCTGAACGGGGCAGCCCATCTATGAAGCCCATGGATATCTCCTCCCATACCCGTCCTGGTAATGCCAATGGTTGTAGTAGTCCCCCTGGTGACATAGCCAGGTATTTGATTCTCTGACAGATCTCACACATTGCTACCATCTCTTCCACATCTATATGCATTCCCTTCCAGTAAAGTTCGGCCGCTAATCTACTAAAGGTCTTTTGTACCCCTGAATGGCTCCCAACCGCACTTCCATGAAATTCCTGGAGTAAGTTTGGGATGTGAATGGAGGTCCTGGGCATCACGAACCTCCCTTGATACAGTAGTTTGTCCCCCTCTACTGAGTACCCCGGGTGGCTACCACCTT